GAGTCTCTGGTCTGCCATAACCGCAAACTGCAATTCTGGGCTCGGTATGCGGGTGATACCTTCTTCGTCATCGAACGGAATCAAAGAACGCCTTCATGCGGACTTTTTGTGCATACAATTTACTATAGAGGAAGAAAACGACCAGCTGACTTTTCTCGAGCTCATCGTCTTCCGCAAAGATTGAAGTAACCTAAAAGCTAAGATGTGCGAAAAATTGCCAAATACGACACAAGTACTGAACTTAAATAGCAACCAACCAGTCAAAAATGCAATTGTCTGAGTATGTTGTACCGGCATGTCGAGAGACGCTATAGTGAACCAGAGGTCAAGGCTATCAAGTTGTAATACGTTCAACTGGTGTTCGGAGCAAATGGCTACCCGCGTAACATTGTGAACGTTTGTATGCACAAATGAGACGATGGACCGAACCGAAACGACATCAAATGTTGGAGAGCACTGTTGTACGTGAAGGATGTCATGGAAACCGTTAGCCAACTCCGCTGGGAGTTGAAAATTCCAACAGACCAAAGGAAACTCTCAGACGCGAGTGCGATCTAAATATCAAATGACACGGCAGGAAATATCGGAGTCGTTTATCTTATCTGGGACAGTTGTAGGCAAAACAGCTAGATCAGAAAGAGGTAGATTACTGTCGATGAGTATCGCTGAACACGCGACATTTGTGAGAAAGACGCTAGCCCTCAGGTCGAGGGTTTATTCAACGGGACCCGGGCACACCTCCAGGTTTGAGGGGGCAAAAATTCTCACGATAGCGGACAACCGTGTCAGTGACCAAAAGTGACGGAGGGTCGAAATTCAGAGTAGCTTTCATGCCAAGAAGCAACAGTGGTGATGAAACCATAACAAGCAACGTTTCGGATGGTGACTGAGGAGCGATCATCGTATCATGGGCGTGAGGGCTGTATAGTACAATGTGCATGTGGTTGCGTGTCAAAAGCACCCTATAAAAATTGCATTCGAGAAAATTCGATCGCTTGGACAACACTTTTATTCGCCTGACGTTTCGACATCTGCCGCGGATTCTTCACCAAAGACCTCAGCAGAAAACAGTAGCAGAAGCTGCTGCCTCCGAAACATAAAGCCAGTAAACTTCGTTTCCCAGCGAATGTGCTTTCTTCCAAACTGCTTCCTGGGGTTTGATTCTACTGGCAATGTTGAAGTTATTCAAAATAGCACGTATATTAGGTCACAACAAGATGAGCTAAAGCCAAAAACAGGTTTAAAGAACTATAAATTAGTGGGCCCAATGACTACGACCGCCTAAACCTCGCGAACGACTTCCACCGTGTGCCCCACTGACTGAGGGCGGCATTGGTGACTTTTACAGCGTCTACTGCACTCATTCGTCCCCATACACCTGGCTCCCATGATAAGACAATACCAAGAAGACCGGAGATGGGATCGTGCTTAGTGGCTGACAACACCAAATAACCCGTCTATGCGTACTACCACGACCTGGCCCTCACGACACGTGTCAGGCCTTAAAAAGGACGGTTTGGATCTCATACTTGTGAAAGTGCCGTAAGTGTCACACGAAGGAGGCACGAGAAGGACTAGGGTAATTCGTCAGTTGCAACCTTCGGAGACATCGCTTTCGGTGCATTTTGATAGATGCGAACGCATCAGGCGTACTATAGGGAAGATTAGATACACACGCACGCACACACAGATAGATAGATACACCACGCACAGATCGGAACCCTCTGTGTGACTGGGCCAATTGCTAGTAACCACCAAAGGAAAAACGTTCAAGGAACAAAATATAAAGAGGCTCATAAGCGGGCGCATCTAACCTCTACACGTTCATGAGCCAGGGAGGACACGTTTATTATGCGCGGGTCGGGAAACGCACGCTTTATGGCTGGCATGAGGAGTTCCGTGAGAAGGAAATGGCCGAGATGGTTGGTTCCAACCTGACTTTCAAAGCCATCCCTAGTCCGAGTGTATGGGCAAGCCATTATGCCGGCATTGTTTATTAGCAGATCAATACGCGTATCGGCTTTGCAGATTCGGGCAGCAAAATCACGCACGGATTGGAGAGAGGCGAGGTCAAGTTCTTCGATGATCAGCTTAAAAGGAAAAAAATGCTAGGCATAAAAAGGAACGGCTTTGCTACTTTTTAACTACAGTTTACGAGTATGACCTACGGGCAGAAAAAAAACCTTCGTTATGATGGAAAACCAAAAAAACAGTTGAATTTCCGCAGGTTAAATTATGCCCAAGTGGTCTTGGTCAAGAAAATAACAATGAATTTCGCCTAATCGAACTACTGATTAATTCGGTCAGTCGCTTTCTTAAAAAGAGGTAGAGGAGCGTTCATCAGTTGTAATGGAGACATAATCGACCGGGGGTTGCCTCAGGTGTTGCCACTACTGTGCATAGCCTGACCGGTGATTGTCCAAAGTTTTGGGGGACAGATCTTATTGAATAGATAATGAGGCGGTCTTCTAGTCGAATTCTAAGCCAAATGGTTCTTGTAGTCAGTATGACAGAACACCGGCTGCTGCGAGTAAAGTAGCATCCAGTGGGATCAATTGGCGTACAAGGATTCATAAGCCAGAAGTGGCAACTTGAGGGGGGGGAGAGGGAGAGAAATTGGAGTGGCGACTTTCATGCAAACTGACGGCTGGGTATTCGCTAAGTGACCCAGATTAGCGCCAGTCGGTCTGATGAGGCATCCACTCCGCTCGAAGACATACAATCCGGGTATCAAAGCTCATTTAGCAATAGCTCGTAGAATTTTCTTACTTGAGCAGGTAATGATCCAACACTAGTTCTCACCAGTTGGCAGAGAATAAACCCTTAGATGGTGCCAATTACCTAATCCATCCAAAACGTTTCGGATCAATCAACGGGAGTCCACGTTACCTTCCTTCTTGTAAAATTATATCAGATTGGCTACAACAATAGAAAGAGGCCCGCAATGAACGAATAACCATGGAAGTCGATAAAAGCAAATGCAGGGTGAGGAATCGATCCTATGAGTGAGTACTTACCACTGTTATGTGGTTTTAGTTGACAATATAACCTAATTGTTGACTAAGGTCTTTGAGAATTTCGTAGCCTACGAAGGATGTATTTACGCGTCCTGCCAGCCATGTTTTTTTTTTCTATTTCCATTCCCACTTGTGGTACTCTGATGTCATCTTGACAAAAAAATGACAGCAAGCTTGAATGGCAACACAAATGTATAAGGCCAGAGTTGACTCAGGTTTAGCAGAGCCAAATCTCCGGTAGTTAGGAATGGGACTTTCGAAATCCCCCTGAGCCAAAAAGTAGGGGTAGGAAACAACAAAATTTTTCGAAGCGCAGAACCTGCAGAACAATCCCCGAGCGGAAACTAAAGTTGAATTCATACAAAGTCAAATCCGCAATCTCCGAGGATATGTATTACTATGCCAAGGCGCAACAAGGACAGAAATCAGTATATTATTGTGCGTAAAGTAACAAAAAACATGATCGTAAGTTGCATATGTCATAGAACGTTAACCGGAATCGGCAAACTTCCAACGCGACCATTGGTACACCCAAATTGAGCCACGTGTTTCATATCTTTTATAGTAGGGAGTGTGGTGATTTCCCTATATCAGTGACATTCTCTCTCTTCCTTTCTCTTCCCTGTCCTAGAAACCAGTCGACCGTCCGAATCCGTCAACCGACTGGTGATGAAATAAAACGCAGTGACCGAAGTGATGTGGAAACCTCTGGCTAACGCATACCACACACATGAAAGGTGGTTGGTAAGGATGCACACAAACTTGTCGCAAGATTAGAAACCAACTTGAGTTTCGTCTTAGCTCAGCACTAATATGGCACAGCACATCGGAGAAGGTGTTCGGCCCAACTAATTTCTTTGACTGTCAGAGGAAAAGACCAATAAGCGTATGGGCAACACTACCAACAACGACAAGGGAGACTGAAATGGTCCTTTCTGGCTTATTAGCCGTCATCAGCTAGCCATACGTAACCCCCCAAGTGTTGCAATTCCTGAGGCTCGAGTCCACGAACTGCTAGTTAGAAAGCCAATGTCCTACTCATTGAGCTACGGGATCGTTGAACTGTCGGTCCTGATCGAGTATATAGAAGATGGTAGTGGGGCATTCACCGATCGTATTACGGAACATACTCGTTTCGAGAGAGCCCCAAGACAGCGGGAGGATCATGGTCCGTAACACGATCGAAGAGCACCCCACTATTGTGGTATGATCAAGGTCTAGCAATAGAGTAACAGTGTCAGGCACTGGGCGACTTACCTGCTCTGGCTTTACCGGCGTGAGGTACTGCTTGAGCGAACTACTGGCAACATTAAGGGTTAGTGCCCGTCGACTGCCCTCTCCATAGCGGGCTAGGATATCCGCTTTGGCTTCTTCGGCCCGTTTCTGATTGCGGCACGCCATGATCACACGGGCTCCTCGTCTGGCCAACTCAGCTGTGGTCTCCCGTCCAATGCCGCTGTTAGCTCCAGTGACTATAGCTAGTCTTCCGTCCAGTCTGCCTGGAAGCAGACACCTCGGGCCTGAGAAGTACAATCTGTTCAAGGCATAAAGGCCAACGCCTACTCCGGCTACGGAAGCAGCAAACTTCCACATGACGAGAGAAGTGGCTTCGGAGAGAATACGACAGATGCGGCCTTGACTATTTTGAAAAAAAAGAAGGGAAAGGCATTGGTTTATGTTGTCAAAGCAAATATGACGTACAGGATGAATTAGATATGCTCTTGGTGCGAGACTAATGCTCTTTAGGCTAGTTCGATTATATTAAAACAAAACACAAAACCGATTCAAATTGAAAATGTATGAACGCAGTAAAATGCACGTCTTACGCAGTAATTTAATCAGTGAACAGCATTGGTCGTGGCTTATGGGTTTATATGGAAGTAAGACCGATTGGGAAGCAATAGGGAAAATTGAAGAAATCAAGAATACTTAATAGAAGGTTAGTTTCTTGTTGCAATTACATGAGCGTGGGTAGGGATACCGCTAAAACCCTACTTCATTGGGCCAGCCTCCTGGATGCGCCGTATAGTGTCAGCACATGCACGGGGGACGGTGGCAAAAGGTCTGGTAAGGTCGACCCCCCGCTATTCTCCAGTTCCAAAGAGAGGATATCAGGAGCCCGAAAACCTTCTAGAGTTATGAAGGGGCTGACCGCCTACGTTTTAACGTCCAGTGAGGCGGCCCTTAAGGACGAGACGAAGCAAAGGAGCGGGCCCAAACCACCCTGAAGTCGTTTTACGATCATATACGTCTCCATAAATTCCACCAAATCATCGTTCTCAGAAAAAAAGTGACTGAAAGTATCTGATTATTGCCCCTTCACTCAAGCACGGACTACCCCGTACAAGTGCAGAAGAAAATCGGCTGGACAGATGTGCGGCACAGCGGACATTCGAGGTCCATAGACACCTCTGGACTACGCGCAGTCGCTGTGCGCACACAGTGTGGCTCATCGCGTCCGTTGATGAATTTGTGATCAGTGCCATGTAGATATGGGCAAGCATAAGTCAAGCTTGAGCCTGATCAGCTTCGATACCGGCT